AAAAAAAAAAAAACCCTCCCCCCCTCCTCGTGTCACCTCCTGTAGCTTTCTGGGTCAGGGGAAGCATTCCTCTCATCACCACAGAAGCTCTGTAGGCCACTGTAGAGAGTCTGTTATCACTCTTCATACGAGACCAAATCCATAGTTCAGTGCAGCAGGGACATCTCTATAGAAGCCACACTGAAAGAAAATCACCAAGGTCAGTCCTTTCTATGCCTGCTCATAATAAAAAGAGGAACATTTTTCTGCATTTGTTCAAAGCATTGGCTGCTTTGTCATGCTCTCAGGCTCGACCAAAAAAGCATGTAAAATAAGTTACAACTTGAACTTGTCAGAGAGTTTTAAATGGAGCAAGACATGAACTTCTTCTACTCTTAAGTACTACTCATTTGTTTATACAAGAAGGCTTTACCTGACTATGCTGATGGTGTTGCCAAGACTCACATTTTACTTCTTACTGTACAAAAATTAAACCAACATCTTATTATGGAGCTTCTTTTTTGATGTATTAACATAAACCCTCCGTACAGCTACAGCTCACACATTCTACTTTTAAGCCATGATTCCACTTAAGACAAGGTTGTTTGTTTTTTACTATTTACTTCTAATTCACTTAATGTCAGGCTCATTGCATTTTAGTGCCCCCCAAAATGTGGGATAATGATAATGTTTGGCTGTTTGAGTCATTTTTCATTGATATGTAATTTTTTTTTAGGTTTCAGTCTTTGTACATTCTACATTCTGTGTTGCCCTCCGTATGTGTCACACAGTAAACTGTAGCTCTGAGTATCGTCTGCACTCTCAGCTCTGTCTCTACTTGTCAACTGGAGTAAATGTGCACAGACACGCAGACCCCCTCAGGCTATCTGTTACACGCCTGCCGTCTCCCTGTGAACCTGTATTCTGCTGGTTTCATTGCATTATGTGTCAATTTCTTTCCATTTTTACCTCTTGTGTTTGCCGGATCAAACAGCATTTACCTCAAACATACTTTTAATCCGCTGTCATTGTTCAAACGTCACTCCACATGATGTTTTCGTGCGTGTACAGCTATGCCTCTGCATGTAAATTTAAGTGTGAACCGCTAAAACATTCAGGTTTTTCTCCCCCAGCAGGGACTGGCACAGGCTGTGAAGGTGCATTTGTTTTCCTTCAGTTTATTTTCACATGTGTGCGCCATTTCTTTTGTCTCGTGTCTTCCAGGGAGTAAAAGCTGGGAGCACAATGGTCCCTGTCTTGGCCTTTCACAATGGCCATTATGAATGGCAGTGAGAGAGGAGGGAGTGATGGGTAGAGATAGAAAGTGGCTACAGGAAGCTCTCTTTGCAGCAGACTGTCATTTTTTTTGATGTGTCACATTTTATAAAGCCCCTTTGTTTCCCCTTATTTACCTATTGAAAAGACTCAAGGGGCTCACCAGCTGCTTTGTTGCCCCAGCAGGTGTAAAGTGGCAACTGACTTGTAATTCAGATAAATTGATCCTTAAAGTAGAATATACGTCCTCTGAGGACGGGGGTGGCATCTCTTTTGCCCATGAGGGAATGTCAGGGGCAGCCTGGTTAAAGAGGGAGGGAGGGGTATGATATCAGTCTTTATCCCCCTCTCCTATTGGGTACTGGGGGGAGAAAGTGGGTGAGAGGTTGAGGGGTGTTCGGGGAGGGGAGTGGATGTGGGAAAGCAGAGATTTATTCAGTGAGGTGAATTCCTTGCCTGGTGGAAGATGAAGTGGTTTGTTTGGGGCTGGG